AGTTATTCTGCATTCATTCTGACTTGTTAACATATCCCATTCACGTCCTCTATATCATGTGTGCCTTTTTTTCTTTACTTTTGCTTCATGTTCCTGTGACGTTTCTTCCATCACACCGGTTTATTTTTGTCTATATCTCTTTGCTGCTCTCACCTCTGCCAATAATATTGTGGTGTAAAAGCATTTGAAAATGAGGATGAAAAAGCAACCACTTTATCTAGCCAGTCAAATTTATTCTGATGGGCATCACCAAAGTGCTGGATCATTTTTGTTTTCAATATATTCATTGTTTCAACATTCATTATCCAACATTATTGGATAATCAGAAAGACTATCATTAACTCTTACTGGTTATTTTATAACTGATTTTTAAAAAACAACTTTAGAGTACTAAAATTAGACATTTTAAAAATAGACTTAATTTTTTACAGCAGTTTTTGGTTCATAGCAAAACTGAGCACAGCATAGAGTTCCCATTTACCACTGCCCCCATACAAATATAGTTTTCTCATAATCAGCATCCCCCATAATGGTATATTGGTTAAAATCGATGAATTGTGGTGTAAACTGTGAACTTTGGTACATTGACATGTTAATCAAGGTTCATAGTTACAAATGATTCACTTGTTTATTGTACATTGGGCAGATGCATAATGAAAGGTACCCATCATTTTGTATTATATAGAAGGTCTTCGCTGCCCTAAAAATCTTCTGTGTTCCCAACTTCTGGCAAGCATTGATTATTTTTTATTGTCTCCATAGTTTTGCCTTTTTGAGAATGTCATATAGTTGGGATAATACAGTATGTTGGCATTTTAGATTGGCTTCTTTCATTTAGCAAGATGTATGTAAGGTTCTTCCATGTCTTTTCATGAGTTTTTAAGTGCTGAATAATATGCCATTGTCTGAATATATCAGGTTGTCCAAAAAGTTTTTTTTCTATAAGATGGCTCTACTAGCACTGAGTTGTCTTTAACTTCATTCAAAACAATTTTGTTAGACCGTACTGTGGCAGCTGTCATATCAACATGCAGTTTTTTTTTTAAACTATCAAAATTGGAGAATTTTTGTGTAGCCATTTTAATATTGAAGATGAAAGAAAATACACATTTTTGGCATGTTATGCTTTGATATTTCAAGAAAGTTAAAAATGCAACTGAACCACAAAGATTTGTGCAGTGTATGGAGAAAGTGCTGTGACTGATTGAATGTGTCCAAAGTGGCTTGCAAAGTTTCATGCTGGAGATTTCTCACTGGATGATGCTCCACAGTCAAGTAGACCAGTTGAAGTTGATAGTGGTTAGTGATCAAGTCAAGAAAAATAATTGAGAATAGTCAATGTTATAATACATAGGAGATAGCTGAAATACTCAAAATATCTAAATCAATAAAGTTATTGGTGAAAATGAAAAATGTCTGTTATTTTATGAAAAAACACATGGATTTTGGCCAAACCAATACCACAGTTTATCCATTCACCTACTGAAATACATCTTGGTTGCTTCCAAGTTTTTGCAATTATGAACAAAAACTACTGTAAGACAAAATAAATAAAATGCTAAAGGTTAAATACAAAGAGAATCTTAAAAGCAGCAAGAGAAAGTCAGTTAGTTACCTACAAGGGCATTCCTATTAGACTGTCAGCTAATTTCTCAACAGAAACATTGGAGGCAAAAAGCAATTGGCAGGAAATATTCAAAGTGATGAAAAGCAAGGACCTACAACCAAGATTACTGTACTCAGCAAAGCTGTCATTCAGAATTGAAGGGCAGATAAAAAGTTTCCCAGAGAAGAAAAAGCTGAAGGAGTTCATCACCGCCAAACCAGTATTATAAGATGTTAAAGGGTCTTTTTTTAAGAAGGAGAAAAATATAATAAATATGAATAATAAAATGGCAATAAATATGTGTCTACCAATTACTTTAAATGTAAATGATTTAAATGCTTCAGTGAAAAGACATCAGGAGGCTGAATGGATGATAAAACAAGACCCACATGCTGTCCATGGGAGACTCACTTCAGATTGAAAGCCAGACACATACTGAAAGTAAAGGAATGGAGAAAAATATTTCATGAAAATGGAAATGAAAAAATAAAAGTTGGGGAAGCAATACTTACACCAGAAAAATAGACTTTAAAATAAAGGCTATAAGAAGAGACAAGGAAGGACCCAGCAACTCTACTTACAAGTATTTTATCCAAAGAAACCCAAAACACTAAATTGAAAAGGCATACATTCTTATATTCATTGCAGCATTATTTATAGTAGCCAAGATATGGAAACAAGCGAAGTGTCCCCCATTAATGAATGCATAAAGAAGTGGTGCAGCTATACAATGGATTATGACTCAGGCATAAAAAAGAATGAAATCTTACCATCTACAAAAACATGGATGGATGTAGAGGTGGTTGTGCTGAGTGAAATAACTCAAAGACAGATGTCAGATGATTTCACTTACATGTGGAATCAAAAAACAAAATAAATGGCGTTGCTAAACAAAATCACTGGTGTTGCTAATTGGTTGGACATCGTCCCAGTGAGTAAAAGGTTGCTGGTTCAATTCTCAGGCAGGGCACATGCCTGGGTTCCAGGCCCAGTTCCCACTTGGGGTGTGCGAGAGGCAACCAATCAGTGTGTCTCTTCCCTCCCTTTCTTCCACACTTTCTATAAGTAAATAAATCTCTAAAAAACAAATAAGCAGAACAGAAACAGACTCATACAAGGGGGAACCCCCCCAAAATGGAATTTATTTATAAAATTGTGTATTTATTCTTGTGTGGCTAAACTTTAGTCACCTTCAATGTACTGTCCATTTGATGTAATACATCTATGAAGACTTTTTTCCTACCACTCAGAACAGTTGTGGAACCCTTCAGTTTTGATATCTTTAAGTGCTCCTGCTGCTTTTTGTTTCACCTTTTCCACATTGGCAAAATGTTTTTCTTTGAGAACTGTTTCACAGGGGAAACAAATAGTCACTCAGGGCAAGATCATGTGAATATGGATGGTGGAGCACAGAGGTCATGCCACATGTGGTCAAGAATTCCTGAACATTCAGTGCAGTGTGGGCAGGTGTGCTTGCAAATCACCCATCATGAAATGGGCTAACAAAGAGACTACAAAAAAATTCAGTGAAGCTGAATACAGCCTCTGGCACACTGATATAGATGGGTTCCAAGAACACTCACCTAGTGGGGAAAGCCTGTACTCCAAGGTGTCTGCCCTCCAGAAAATAATTCTGGGTGTTTTTCGTGGGGGTCCCCCTGGTAGAGACAGGAACATGTTGATGGTTGCCAGAGGGAAGGAGAATTGGGGGGACTGGGTGAAAGGTGAAGGGATTAAGTAAAATGTAATTACAGAATAGTCATGGGGATGTAAAATACAGCACAGGGAACATAATATTGTAATAACTGTGTACAGTGTCAAATGGGTACTAGACTTATGAGGGTGATCACTTTGTAAGTTATACAAATGTCTAACCAATGGATTGTACACCTGAAACTAATATAATACTGTGGAACTAGAATTGAAAAACTGAACAATTATTTTTAAAAAAGTAAAATGAACATGATTTACATAGCATATCGCCACCTGTGCCTGTACTAGGCCCTTTCTTGTCTTTTATCTCATGTGATTTTCACTGTAAACCTTTGAGGCAGATGATAGTATTTACAGGTCCTTTGTTAATCTGTACAGTCCTTACAAGTGAAGTATCACAGATGGGGAAACTAAGGGCCACAGGTGTCAAGTGACATGCTTACAGTCGTGTGGTCCAAATGCAGCAGAGCCAGGACACAGCTCATGTGTTTAATATTTTTAATCATTTTAATGTCTTTTCCTAACTCTACTGAAGAGTTTGGAAAACATGCATATAACAGTCATTTACTAAGAGGGTCTTTGAGTTTGTCATTCCTATCCAACTTGTCTCAAAGTATTGGCTTATTTATGAGATGATAAAGAGAACCCTAGCACCAGAGTGTCATGGCAGGAATATCACAGACTGAGGTGGAGTAGACCTGGGTGCGAATGCCTGTTTCTCTGTTTGGGTTACTGGGCAAGTTATTTCATCTTTCCTCAGCTACCCAATACATTTGCCTGTGGAAGGGCCTTGTTGATGGGTTGTTGTAGAATCAGAGGTAAGTTATGTATCATAATTTCTGTCCTATGGTAACTTCTACGGATATTGGAATGGGCAAAGGAATGAATGGTAGTAATTACTGTGCTTATTATTATTGCAAACATTTTACTTACTAAAATATAAATCTAAAATTAAATGCCCTGTCAGAAATTAAAATTCTTACCTCACTTTCTCCTAATCTGTGAGGTAAAGTTTTTAAAATCACCTGTCTAAATTATCTCCAGGCACTTGGAGTAGTGACAAGAGTTCCTAGTTGTTTTCAATCTTATCAAATTTCCAGGTACAGGTTTTGTTATTTGTTAAATTCTACATAGTATTCTAAAAAGGAAATTGAAAGTAGCACATATACTTCATTTGCCAATTTTAGGCAGTTTTGGGGTGTGCACTTTGAAGTTTCAGTCAGAAGTTTTCCCTTATTTCAGGTTAATTTGCAAATGTTCTCTTACTTATGATTTTCAATCTATTATTCTACTTCATTGCAGCAAATATTTCTGTTTTGCTTACCAGGACCCTGAAAAAGCAGACTCCCTTCCCGAACTGTGAAGTGGATAACTAGGTTAACTAAGCCCTTCTTTGCACTAGGGGCTTTAGCAGACCTCAGTCATCAGCACCTGTGGGGTATGGGTACATTTAGTCGGAGGAATCAGGCTTAGAAAAGTTCAGTATCTCAACCAACTGTGCCTCCTGGAAGTGGGGTTCCTGGGAAAGGTCCCAGTCCACACCCAGAACCTAAGACTTTTCTCCTGGACAGCCTGAGGATCTTCAGATACCAAATGGTGCCTTGCTCCCTCTCCCTCTTCCTCTCTGCTCCCTTCATCTTTCTCTTTTCTTCCCTCTTTCTCTTTGTTCCTTTCTTTTTAGAAAGAACTGAATTCCCGAAACGGAGCTTGGGAAAGAATATGTGCTGAAAAGGATCCTTTCATCCTGTGCAGTTTGATGTGGTCGTGGGTGGAGCAGCTGAAGGAGCCTGTCATAACCCAAGAGGACATGAACATGTTGGTTAACAGGCATGCAGATACTGAAGAAGCTCTGTTTTTATTAGAGAAGGTAAATTAGCTGTTAGACCACATTATGACATTTACTGTATATGTTTCACAAACTAAAAAAGTTACAAAAAAGGGAATTCATATGGAATCCCATATCTGGGTCTAATTTAAGTTTTTCATGATAAAAAAAGGAATTCTCAGTATAAACATTTAGAAAAGAAAAAGGGAGCCCTGATTGGTGTGGCTCAACAGATTGAGTGCCAGGATGTAAACCAAAAGGTGACTGGTTCAATTCCTAGTCAGGGCACATGCCTGGGTTGCAGGCCTAGGTCCCCTGTTGGGGGCCTATGAAAGACAACCACACATTGATGTTTCCCTCTTTCTCCCTCCCTTCCCCTCTCTCTAAAAATAAATAAATGTATTTTAAAAAAATAAATAGTAAATGAAAAGGGAAATAAATGCCCATAATCCCAGGAGAGCCACTTTGAAACATTTTCAAGTCTTTCAGTCTTAACATTGCATATAGTTCTTGGTAAAATCATTTCACATACAATGATATTCTTCATTTTTTATCAAAATTATAGGTGATTACCATGTTTAATGTAAGTTTTTCATAAATATTAACTTTGATGGACAGGTAAATACTCTAACATGAGGGGATATGTCATAATTAACCACTTTCACTTTCAAGTATATATTTGTACTTATTTACCATGAGCAGCATATAATTTGAAGAGCTGTGCAGTAGGTTGGAATATGCACTCATTTGTATTTTCTTTGAAAGAGCAGTGTGTCACATACATAGTTATGTAGTACCTGTATAAAATATAGAAGACTATAGAAGGAAAAACAAGAAACTGATAGTAATGGTGGTTGCCTTAAGGAACACACTAGGAGACAATGGTTCTAGCAAAAGAGGGGCAGATACTAATAGCTCCTTTTATACAATTTAATATTTTATCTATATTGAGGTATTAAATTTTCATTTAAAAATACACTTTGTTTTAGGAAGCAGTGTTATCTTCTAAGGAGCCTTGAATTACATACTGTGTTGCAGTGCCTCCTCCTTTGCACACACAGATAAGCAGACAGATACCAGCGTGATGCACATCTTTAAAGACAAGATTTTTTTCTGTATTGGGACTTGTTCTCTGAGGCTGTTTCTCAGCAATTAAATTACAGAGATGTATCTAGAGAGGGGATGAGAGGCAGTTGCCCTTCTTGGATGATGGTGGGCTGGGCCCTTGCTAGGATGTAATTTCCATTTCCACTTTCTTCCATCCCCATAGCCTAGAAAGATAGAGGACCTGTTTTACTGAAAAGGGAAGGTGAAGTAACCCACCCAAGGTGCATAGCCTGTGTTGGAGAGGAATTCAAACTCCAAAAGCTCTGGCACAAAGCTCTGCACCTTTTGTCACATCATGTGGTTCCATCATCACTCGCTCCAACCCCATGTGTAGTGCACTGATGTTATTTCCAGGTTTTTACTTTTGTGAGCATCACTGATATGATCAGGTGTTTCTGTGTTTCAGATTATGCCCTTTGAGTAGATGTCCAGGGTGAAGTCAGTGACGCTTAAGGGGCAATGTGGTCCGAATGGTGGGGTTCCTTCTTTATTTCTCCAATGTGAGCAGCCTCTTCTCCCTCCATAGCATCTCCCTCCATAGCATCTGCAGTGTGCAGGGCACACAAATCCATAGTTGTTGTGACTCGTCAGCATACACCAGCCCAGTTGAAACGATTGTGTCCAGAAACAAGAATGGATCATCCCTTCAGTTCACCTCAAGGAAGATATTTCATTTGAAATTGTGCTTCATGTAATAACTAGTCAACTTTGATTTTCTCCTTGAAAGCATTCAAACACATAACAGTAAACACTGGTAGAGCCTTGGTAGATACTGTGGTATTAGAAGTTTTGAGTATTTGGTTATAAACCAGTCCCAGGCTTTGCATTTGCTTTGAGTTTATTTCTTGAGGCATATTTCAAGGAAAAAAAACTTGTTTTGTTTTGATTTCTGCAAAAACAGGGCCAGCACCAGACTATTCTTTGCGTGTTGCATTGCATAGTGAGCCTGCAGACAATTCCTGTGGATGTGGAAGAAGCTGTTCTTGCTCGGGCCATTAAAGCTTTCACTAAGGTGAGTAGCACTGTCCCTTCCCCCTTCAGACCACAAGCAGCATGATCTTTGCAAAACAGAATCCAGAGGTCACCAGCTGCCTCTAAAATAAAATATTTAGCTATGTTTTCTCTTAATGGAAATGTGTTTAACATTTCTTAAAAGTAGTTGCAGGCTTTGGCAAAAAAAAATACCAGTTTTCTAACAGTGGTATTAGAAAAAAGCTGACCTATGGGATTCTATTGGAAGGAAAACATTTGAACAAAGAACATTTATGAAGAGAAACAATTGGGCATTGAGAAAGTATTTTTAAATGATGTGCTAGTAGGAGTCAGAGAATTTTGTTGTTGAGCCATTTCTACCTTGGGTCTACACAAGAAATCATCTAGTGAGAATTCAGCACCCAGCATTGATAATTTGGTAGTATGTCCTGGTTAGCAAATCCCTAACAAAGACTGCAAAAAAAAAATCTCCTCTCTCTGCACATCCTTTTGGCTTACAGCAAGTTTGCCTGGCTGAAGAAAAGAACCAGGTCCCTGCCAGGTGAAGCGGTTCCTCTCACCCACTCGGCTAATTTGTTGGTACCTCTCTCACTTATGAAAATGTCATTTAACAAAAAACCCAGCTTTTCAATGATGATGTCTGTAGTAAACATTAATGATGATAGCAGTTGTCTGTACTCATTCATCAGTCTTCTCCCTCTCCATTCCTTCCAAAGTGATATTATTCTGACAGGCTTTCTTTTTCCTCATCTGGAGCTTTATGGCACTAAGTTTCCAGAGTCAGCAGTGCAAAACCCAATCATGTGGTCCTTTCAGTCTTTATTTCATAAACCTCTTTCAAGGTTTATGAAAATAGGCTACTTGCTTTGTGGAGAGGGTTGTGGTTTGGTGTTTAACAAAGTAAATAGACAAAACTTGTTAATGTTAGTAAGAAGTTTCTGCAAATAAGATAGAAAATATAATGGTTAAGATAAAAATGTCTGAATTAACTGAAAAAAAAATCCTTAATAGTGGTGTCTAAAAATCCTGGGCTCTTCAAGGAATCCTGTGTGGCATCTGCTTCCTGTTTAGTAAAGAGAATGTCTCCCTTCAGGCCAGAGCTTAGCAGGCTTGCTGCTGCCCCTACCTTGAGATCATCAGCCATGATGCAAGCACCCTGCTTGTGCAGCCTGCACCCGTGATTATGTTGTTCAAGTTAGAAGGTGGGTTGTCTCTGACCTAGCAGTCTAGTGTCTCCTGCCAGTGACCTCAAGCTGGCAAGTGAGCTTGTTGGCTTGTGAACAGAGTGAAATCCCATGTCCTTCCCACCCCTTCACAAGGGGATAGCCCTGGCCTCCACTTGCAGGAGGAGGGAGTCACTGGCCAAGATCTGACCCTGTCCTGAGGAGTCACGTTTCTTTAGGGTTGGAGTGAAGTCATGCTCTGGTTCTCTTTCCTGCATCACTCCTAACCTTGTGGTGTGATGAACTTGAGCAGACAGCCCACATGTGTGTGCATGGTGCCTTCCCACAGAGGGGATGGGAAACTATGTAGGTTTTTATATGTGTCACACACATGTCAGGCTCTCCTATTTAGTACTCACAGAGCCCTAAGGAGATGGGAATTGTGCTGTCCTTTTTACAGAGAGGTCAGGTATGCCCCGAGGTTGCATGGATAGCAGGTGGAGAGGCAGGCTCCTGTTCAGGTTGCCCCAGTACAACACTGACAGCTAGTGCACATTGTTTTCGTGAAGAGACCTTTTCCTTGTATCATCAGTGATCAGTCTCTGGATTTGAAACTCACTTCATACTCACTATTGACTTGTTTCCTGGTAGGGTGTGAGTATACTACATATCCAGGCACTCAATTTAATTCTTTGTTTTTTCATTGACATGATTGGCATTTATATAATTGGCAATTCTAATAGTGTCTTTCAATTAAAATTAATGTGTGAAATGTGTATACTTTTAAATTCATATATAATTTTGTATATAATTATTAGTTTTGTTTTTCCACCATATGTCTTTTCTCACAAAATAGATTGGTTAAAATTCTTGTTACAGTGTCCTGAAAATAAATATTCTTTGTCACCAGGTTAATTTTGATTCTGAAAATGGACCAATTGTTTACAATACCCTAAAGAAAATATTTAAGCACACACTGGAAGAAAAAAGAAAAAGGACAAAAGACAGCCCTAAACCTTGTGTTTAGTGAAGGTGACCTTCCCCTCATGGCGCATGTTTCGTACCAGAAGATCCAGATGGCATTTCTGTTCATAGGTGAACAAGTTAAAGTGTGGTGCTATGTTGACTCCTAGCACTTTATTTCAGATGCTCTTGGTTTGTGCTAAGAATAACCATTTCTCTTTGGAGCAATTATTTCTTTTAAAATGTCAATGAGCTACGTTTTTGTGTTTAAAAAATCCCCATAAAGTTGGTGCCACTTTCTTTTATTTACTTAACTGAATTCATATTGTTGTATTAATATTTTAAGTATGTAGTGTTTACATCCTTATTCTTTTTGACATTTTGGAAAAAAGTCATAACTCTTCTTTCCAAAACAATTATCTTATTGACAGAACTCTTTCTCGAGTTTTTACCAAATAGATGTCAGTGATAAAACCTCACTGTTTATCCATCCCCGATGCATGACCTAAGGAAGTCACCAAGTGTCTTAAACCAAGTGTTTTATATTTATTAATAAGAAGGCTGTTGATACAACATTTTTAAAGGATTTTTTTAAATTGTTTGAATGTTTTTTATAAATGTGGCAGAGGGTTTCAAAGTATATTATTTTCCGGGGTGGTTTAGTTTTACATTAAAGAAATGACTGTGAGATGGTCAGGATTTTTTACTTCTAGAAAGTGGATTTGCTCAGGCTTTTAGATGACTTTGCCAATCTCTAATGTCACAGGAGGCAAGAGTGGTACTCACACATTAGGCCTTATTCTCACTCCCCTGGTTGGCTGCTGGGCCAAATCGTATCTTTACAGAAGAATTGGGATCAGCTGTGGGCGCTGTGGTCACTGTGGGACACTCTCAAAACTCCTTGGGAAGGCCTGTCACATGGCGTGGGCACCTCAGCCCTGCTCTCTCCAGGTGCCCTTTCTGTTCCCCAGAGCCATGTCTGTTCATGCTGATAGTGTGATAGTGTGAGATATGGCCCATGCCTCCCAGTCTGCCATTCCATAGACCCAGTTGCCTTTGACTGCCTTTGACTAGGACAAGTAAGATTTTTTAAATGAATTTAACCCACTTAGGTTACATTCACCCTACTGGCTTTAGATAAGAAAAAGTAACTTCCTAAACTAGTTCCTTGTAGAACCAAACTGTCAGTCAGCTATTGAAGCCATAACTATTATTCAGATAAACACCTGGGGTACCATAGACCAAGCGAGAGAGGACTGAAGTTTTTCCCTATAAAGGTGATGTTAAACCAATTTCAAACTGAAGAAGTTACTACTTAATCATAAAGACAGCATATCAGGGAAAACTAATTTATAACAAATGAAGTTTCTCTAATCTCTGCATTTGTGAATCAAGCTCTAGCACATTAAAAATATTTTATTATTAGTCTTACTAACTCTGGTGGAAAACACTAAATGCCATTTTCTTTCACACTGTTTGAATTTTCTTAGGATATCAAATCCAATGTTTTTAATGAACTGGGTTGCCCATTGCTGATATTTCTCATTTTCAAGTGCCTGATCTGGGTAAGTAGGGGAGAAATCAATTACATTGTATTCAAAGGTACCTTATAAAAATGTGTTTTACCCAAAAAGATGTCTGTTCTCTTCTCATTCAGTCTCATGTGGGCAAGTAGCACCATAACTCATTTGATGAGAGCTATTGGCCTGATTCTGGAGGAATCATTTCAAAGTAAAGGACAGATCCTACCAGCCACAATGTGACCATGGCAGTGCACACCTAAAATTTTAAGTGCACCAACCTGAAAGGAGAGTTGGTGGGAGAATTAATCAAGCTGTCTATAATTGTTGTATTTATTTGAATAAAAGTGAAAAGGACAACCTAAACCCTCATCTTGTACTTCTTTAGCTGGAGGGTCGTCGTGCACATCCTGATGATAAAGATGCTGTTTGTAGTTAGATTATCCTGATGGGCAGGCTGAGTTGTAGGCTGAATAGTCAAGTGGCCAAGCTCTGGTCAGTCCCAAGACCTTTGGTTCAGAATGACCAAGTGAACTGGAGAACTAGCATTGAAGAATTCTAAGAGGAATGGGTGAAGGAAAACTCAAGGCTGACAGGATTCCAAACTTCCTATGTTTGAGTGGATTAGTAGGTCTTTCCTGCTCAAAGAATAGAAATCTACCTATAGGAAGAAGTTACAGGTTTGCAAAACTCAGTTCAACAAAAGTAGGAAGGGCTAAGAGCACACACATAAACCACCTCAGAGAGGCTTGTCTTACCAGACTGAGAGAGAAGTATTATTCATAATTGACTGAGGGTGGAATCCTAGTCTGACTAATTCTGAACCATGCTCTCCTCTCACCTGAAATCACCTGCCTATGGAGCTCCTAACCAGGTAGAGCTGCCCAGCATGGAGCGCCCCACCAGGAACCTTGAGGCTCTCTTACATTAGACTCCATGATAGTGTTACAGAGCATCATTTTGTCTATAAGTGCTATGAAAATAGACCATGTTTTGGGTTCCTCTGGAAAAGGCTGAACTGGCTGTGTTACTCATAAGATTTCTAGCATATCACACAGAGGAAGTGCATGATTTCTTGCCCTGTTTTTTTTTTCTGTCTTAACATTTTCTGATGTTCTTTGAGATAAGGTACTGCTGGTTCACAGATTGCTTTGAGTATTTGCATAACTCAGAAGTACTGTGCTGATGGATTTAGTCATATCTTCAACCAGCTTCCCACTATTATCTGAGAAAGAGTATGTGCTTTCATACTTTGGTTCCATTAAATAGCCATATGTCATAATAAAGTTTTTCTATTTGCTCTTAAATGGAGAATGCTTACTCATACACTTGGGTGCTGTTTCAGGCTATTCTTTAGATGTCTGAAAAAATTTTTTCATGTATAGTGTAGTATATTATAGACAAAATGTATGCCTTGAGTTCTTGATTTTTTAAGTCCTCCAAATTATTTTGGGCCTTTATTAAAAGTGACAGTTTACTTATAAGATCTTCATTGTTGTCCCAAACTAACAATTAATAATTGTCATTATTATTATTATTATTTTAATTGTTGTTCAACCACAGTTTTCTTTCTTTATTCCCATCCTAGCCTACCTCCCGAGCCTTCCCCACCTCCCTCCCCTTTCCACCCCCCCCCAGTTTTTGTGAATGTGTCCTTTCTGTTTGTTCCTGTAGACCCTTACCCTTTTCCCCTGAAATTGCCTCCCCTCTCCCATCTGGTCACTGTCAGCCTGTTCTCAATTTCGGTGTGTTTGGTTATATTTTGTTTGTTTGTTTTGTTGTTTAGATTCCTGTTAAAGTTGAGATCATATGGTATTTGTCTTTCACTGCCTGGCTTATTTCACTTAGCATAATTCTGTCCATGCTGTTGAAAAGGGTAGGAGCTCCTTCTTTCCTTCTGCATGTGTTTTCAACACAAGTAAATCAAGAACAACATTCCCTTTGATGCTTTTTAGTAAATGTGGCCCAGGATTAGGACCTTATGTCAAGGAGTTCTCAATTTTAGATGGTTGAACATTGTGTACAAATAAAATGGCAGGAGAAAAGTGCCATAAATCCTCTTATGCAGTAGTGTATTATTTTTTTAGTCATGCTTTTAGGCAGGAGCTGATGTTGATTAGCCCAACACTGACAATAAAACTGATTTATAAGCAGTCACAATGCGGACATTCATTACTGGAGCTGTGGTAAACCTTCATTCCAAGCCAGCCAATAAAACCTGTAGTCACTGAAAATAATGTCACAACAAGACTTTCATATCATACTCCCTTTTGCACAGAAAATACAAGTTTCATGTATCCACTGCAACTAATATCACAACAGAAGTTTATTAGGCCCTTGCTGCCCAGCTTTCTTGATTATAATAAAAAAATATGATAATCTCTTAAGATTGTCTATTTGGAGAAGTAGATGTGTTTTTGGAAAAGATTCCTACTTATGTGACCATTTGATCACAGACTTCAAATACTCCTTGGTTTTGATTTAGTGGATTGCTTGATCATTTTCTTCTTCCTTTTAAAAGTAAAAAATGTAAACAAATGACTCAAACATTGAATTAGGTTGAACCACATGGAATGGCCATTTCTTTAGGTCAAAATGACCAAATATTAGCCATTTCATATGATTCAACCAAATATTTTTTTAATGGGCAGAAGAAGTTGCCTTTAATTGGGTGGGACAGGACAGCACAGCTCTCTGCCAAGAGCCATAGGGCCTGACGGCCAGCACGTGGCAGACTTTTACAGTAACTATAGATTCGGGAGATGGGCACAGATGAAATAGGGTTGGGCATCCAGCTACTCGATACCAGTGAGCTCTCTGGCACGCTTCTGGCAGCATCCAGGATTGGGTGGGATGGTGAGAGAGAGCCAAAGTTCAGATCCAGGAGCCTGCAAAACAGCAAGGAAGGCTGTCCTGTTAGGCTGTCAATGAGGGAATCCCACATGTGGGTAGCAGTCATGCTAGGCTGAGATTCATTCAGCTTGAGGACCCTCTCCACCACTGAAAGCTCTGTTCTGGTTGTCTCCTGGCCACAGAAGGCGCACCAGTCTTTCACCACCATCCCAGCAGCAATTATTTCACTGCTTTGATTCACAGTGCCCATCACAAGGTGGGCCTGAAGGAGAGAAAACAGCTTATCCTGGTTGGTCTTCAATTGAAGTCTTGGGATGTACCAGCCCTCCCTGATTGCTGAAGACACAGTAGCTTCCTACTAACAACTGCTCAGCCACTGTCTGCCTGAAGACTTCCACCTTGAGTATATCAGCCAGGATTTCTTCTGTCTCCCTGTCCAGGTCTTTCTGGACAAAGGCCACATAGTCATTGCAGGTAGTGGCATTGCCCAGAGCTGAGAGCCTCTCATCTACCTGCCAGATCTGCACTGAGTCTGGGAGAGAGTTTTGAATATACTGCAGCTCCTGGTTGGTAGTGTTGCTGGGTACAAGCAGATCATGTCTGTTCCCCACACACGTGCACCCAATGATGCAGCAGCTAGTGATGGACACTGGGATGGTCTTGGCAGGCTTGCCCTGGAACACAGGGTAAAAGTTCCCTGACCCTCTGATGGCCACCAAGCACTAAGTACTGGTAAGTCTGTCGAAGCAGCCGATCTCACAGTTGTTCTCGAACGACACTCAGACCACCATGAGGGCTTTGTGATTGCCCTCTACATGGACTCTCCAGGTAACCTCAAACTCCACAAGACACAACAGGCCCTTCTCCATCCCAAGTAGGTTTCTGTTTGATTCAACCAAATATTAAATGCAGTATTTCTGGGACCACTAGGTGACATTTCCTGGATGATTATAGCAAAGTTAATTAGAATAGATGATTATTTTCTAAGAATATCCTGTATGCTGACAGTAGAGTCCCAATACAAATAGAAGAGACCAATGAGACTCATATTCTTTCAGCAACAGGTTTGTACCTACTGTGCTTGGCCCTCTGCTGATGCTGGGAACACACAGGGTCATTTATTCAGTCATACCTCCATCCAGAGCCACATCTAGTACGTGTCCACATCTACCACACCACTTGTTCATGCTGTCTTCTCCCTCTGTCAGCACTCTAATTGAATTCTGCAATGTCTGCCACATAGCTATGTCCTTCAGTCCCCACTTCCAGTCTTCCTATACAGTGCTGGAAGGTTCATTCTCATCACTTAATCATTCCATTAATCCAGAATGTCCCTCAAAACTTGGCCCTGATTCTTTGGAATAGAATATGTACTAATTAACTCCTTGTTAAATGTAATTACATTCAACTACCTAATTACCTCATAGCCCAGGAAGGTGGGGAGGTACTGTGACCTGAATTATGCCCTCCTAAAATTTCTGTGTTGAAGTCCTAACCCCTGATATCTTAGAATGTGACTAAATTCGGAAATATAGCCTTTAAAAGAAAATTAAGTTAAAATTAGGTCATTATAGTCAACCCTAATCCAACATGATTGGTGTCCTTATAAGAAAAGGAGATTAGGACACAATTCCCCCACTCTAATGGGGGGGTCAGAGGGGCTCCTCAATGAGTTGAGCAGGGGAGGTGACTGATCACACTCCTACAGAACTACTTTCCACCCAGCACCAATGAAACTAAAAGTGGCATGAAGGGCTGATTAGCATTCCCACCAGCACCAAAGGAGCAGAGCATGGTGATGAGGCTCATTTAGTAGCTGACTTGCTGCCTTCTTACCCTCCTCTCCTCTAGGACAATGAGCTTATACCACCTGAAAGAAAAGGGGTATAGGAGGTGTTACAGGCCGGGGAGGGGGGGAGAGCTGCACTACCCCCACCCATTATCAAGGAGGCAGTGTGAATCAGCACTGCTGGGGTGGGAGCAGGCCTACTGACACACCCACCCAGCCTAAATCTACACCCCAAGTGACTGCCTGATCAAAGATGGCCAAAGGATATCCTCTGAAGAAAGCAACTGCTATGGAAAGAAGGGGCTTGAAATTTCAGGAAGGAAAAGACAACATTGGAATGAGTCAACATAATGGACTATCTCATAAGTTTATTAATTCCTACTTCATGGGTGCAACAAAAATGATAATACCATTTGGTGTAGTGTTCAGCATACATAGGGGAAGTACCTGGGGCAATTACATTTAAAATGAGGGAGTGTTCTCTGACCAGCATGGCTCAGTTGGTCATTGTCACACAAAGTGAAAGGTTCAGTTCCTGGTCAGGGTACATTCCTGGGTTGCAGCCTTGTCTCCTGTTGGGGTGTGTGCGAGAGGCAGCCAATTGATGTTTCTCTCATGTATCCTTTTCTATCCATGTTTCTCTCCTGCTCTTTCTCCCTTCTTTCCCCTCTCTCTAAAAATAAACAAATGAAATCTCTCATTTTTTTTATTTTTTTAAAAGATTTTATTTATCTGTAGAGGGGAAGGGAAGGAGAGTGCGAGAGAAACATCAGTGTATGGTTGCCTTTTGTGCATCCCCTGCTGGGAAGTGGCCTGCAGGGAACCGGCCTGCAACCCAGGCATGTGCCCTGACTGGGAATCGAAGCGCGATTGTCTGGTTCACAGGCCCATGCTCAATCCACTGAGCTAAACCAGCCAGGGCCAAATGAAATCTTTTAAAAAAATAAATAAAATGAGGGAGTGCAGTGAATAGTGACATAATGGCAGTGATGGTTCTGCACTTCAAAATAATAAAATATTGCCAACAAATTGTGCCAAGTCACACACGTAATACCTAAGGAAGCAATTAAAAAAAAAAAAAAAACATGAGCCCTTGCTGGTGTAATTCAGTGGATTGAGCGTGGACCTTCGAACCAAACAACCACAGTTCAATTACCAGTCAGGGCACATGCCTGGGTTGCAGGCCAGTTCCCAGAGGGGGACACATGAGAGGCAACCATACATTGATATTTCTCTCCCTCTGTCTCCTTCTCTTCCCCCCTCTAAAAATGAATAAATAAAATCTTTAAAAAAAATGAAAGTGACATACTCAAAAACCAGGATAACTCTGGATGGAATTTTTTTTTTATTTTGTGGTTTGAATCCTGTGAGAAAACAAAAAAGGACATTAGAAAATTAATGAAGACAAAGTGGGTTTAGTGAATAGCACTGTACCAATGTTTATTTGTTTCTTTCTTATTTATTTTAGAGAGAGGGGAGGGGAAGGAGAAAGAGAGAAATGTGATGTGAGAACCATCAGTTGGTTGCCTCTTATACATGCCCTGACCAGAGACTGAACCTGCAACTCAGGCAACCTTTTGCTTTGCAGTATGATGCCCAAACCCACTGAGCCACCCAGTCAGGGCCTAGTGTTGGTTTCTTAATTGCAGCAAATATACCATGGTGATATAGAATGTTATCAATAAGGAATTGAGTCAGGAGTATGCAAGAATTTTCTCTACTATCTTTGAAACTTTCCTGTTAACCTGAAACTTATCTTTTTAAAAATACTGTTTTAAAAATATAATTTTAAGATGTGTTATAGACTAAATGTTTGTGTCCCCCCAAAATTCATATGTTGAAGCCCAAACTCCAATGTGACTATATGGAGATGGGGCTGGTGAGGTCATAAAGGTTAAATAAGATCACAGTGGTGGATCCCAAATCCGAGGGGGCTGGTCCCCTTATATGAAGAGGAAGAGACACCAGATTCATTCTTTC